GGAGAGGAGAGGAGAGGAAAGGAAAGGAAAGGAAAGGAAAGGAAAGGAAAGGAAAGGAAAGGAAAGGATGTACATGACATTTTATACATGTTAAGCAATGGAACTAGATTACCCATGCGGACATCCCAGCCTGGTGGTACAGAACAAGGCCAGATAAAATCACATGACTAAACATATAGGACACATTAGAAACACTTCAAAGTAGCTATGTCCTTTCTTGGGCTCATAGATGTTTTGCAAACTTGGGTTTGGTTTAAGGTGTTCCTGAGAGGTATTACCTGTACATCCACATGCACTCTACATCATATTTTGTCCTTTAAATCCAGATCTCTGCCCAGCCCTAATGCAGAAGATCCCAATTTCAACTAGATCCTGATGTCTGCAATTTTAAAAAGGGTAATATTGCAGATGAGCTTTGCCAGAGACCTTTTAGAGCCTCTGCCAGTCAGAATAGATAATAGCTCAGCAAGGCAACATAAGCTGCCTGTTAGTTGTATTGGACTTTAACTGTCATAATTCCCAGCCAACAAGATCAAAGGCCATAATGATAAGTCTAGACTGAATAAGAATAAGAACATTCTGTATTCCTTTGGATCTGCTCTGTTTTGTATTACAAAAAACCTGATACCCATGAAAGTCCTATCTTAAAAAGGTCAAAGTAACTCAATAATATGATTAAACCATAACTGATGATAGAATTCCTTTTAACACTAGAATTATTTAGTCCACTATGGTGCACGGTGTTTTTTGGTTTGGGGATGTTGGACTACAGGATACTATATGCATTTTTCCAATTGGAAACCTAAAATGGATTGTCTATTTAATTTAATCATAGTTGTTTAAAATTAGGAATCTTAACAGGTGTTTTCAGATAAATTGGTCGACCACTATTTCAATGAATATTCTGGTGCCTGGTCCTCATGAACTGCACCCTCTGATGGGTTGCATCCAACAATTTGGGAGGAAGCAACGGGAAGGTTCTGGTAGACTGGCTATGGACGATCAATTCTGCTACTGTGCTGTGATGCATAAGCACAGCTAACACTGGATGTGGTACCTGTTCCTGTCACTCCTGATGTAATCTGACTCATTAAGAACTGTGTTATTTATCAGAAATTGGTGAGTGAATCTGTCTCAGTGACTCATCAGGAGGTTCAAACAAGAAACAAAACATCAGCAGGCACTGATGATACCCCATTGAAGTAAATAAGAGCTCAATATTTCTGACGGCAGAGTCAGGGCAAAAAACATTGTCAGGTCCAGTTCATTCACGTATTGTCTAAAACAATGGGCAATAAGTTGAGGTTGCAATACTACCTCATTAAAACCAACAGAATTTTCACCAAGCATTTCTGGCCAAATGGAAATACAAAACCTAGACCATGAACTAGCAAATCTGTATTGACTCAAACGATTCAGCCATATAGAGCAATCTGTTCTGTAAACAGCTGGTTCTAGCCCATGGAAGAATGAGCCAGTCTATTTTAGTACAGATATGGCTGACTTCATCCACTTTGA